TTGAATTCTGTCAAAAGCTTTTTCTGCATCTATTGAGATGATCATATGGTTTTTATTCACCAATTTGTTAATATGGTGTATCACATTGATTGATTTGCGTATATTGAAGAATCCTTGCATCCCTGGGATAAGTCCCACTTGATCATGGTGTATGATCCTTTAAATGTGTTGTTGGATTCTGTTTGGTAGTATTTTGTTGAGGATTTTTGCATCTATATTCATCAGTGATATTGGTCTGTAATTTTCTTCTTTTGTAGTATCTTTCTCTGGTTTTGGTATCAGGGTGATAGTGGCCTCATATAATGAGTTTGGGAGTGTTCCTTCGCCATTTTTTGGAAGAGTTTCAGAATGACGGGTGTTAGCTCTTCTCTAAATGTTTGATAGAATTCACCTGTGAAGCCATCTGGTCCTGGACTTTTGCTTGTTAGAAGACTTTTAATCACTGTTTCAATTTCATTACTTGTGATTGGTCTGTTCATATTTTGTATTTCTTCCTGGTTCAGTCTTGGAAGGTTATACCTTTCGAAGAATTTGTCCATTTCTTCCAGGTTGTCCATTTTATTGGCATATAGTTGCTGGTAGTAGTCTCTCATGATCCTTTGTATTTCTGCAGTGTCACTTGTTACTTCTCCTTTTTCATTTATAATTTATTGATTTGAGTCTTCTCTCTCTTTTTCTTGATGAGTCTGGCTAACGGTTTATCAATTTTGTTTACCTTCTCAAAGAACCAGCTTTTAGTTTTATTGATCTTTGCTACTGTTCTTTGTTTCTATTTCACTGATTTCTGCTCTGATCTTTCTTTCCTTCTGCTAACTTTTGTTTTTTTTTTTTGTTCTTCTTTATCTAGTTCCTTTAGGTGTAAGGTTAGATTGTTTATTTGAGACATTGCTTGTTTCTTGAGGTAGGCTTACATAGCTATAAAATTCCCTCTTAGAACTGCTTTTGCTGCATCCCATAGGTTTTGGATCATCATGTTTTCATTGTCATTCATCGCTAGGTATTGTTTAACCTCCTCTTTTATTTCTTCAGTGATCTCTTAGTTACTCAGTAACTTAGTGCTTAGCCTCCATGTGTTTGTGGGTTTTTTATGGTTTTTTTCCCCTGTAATTGATTTCTAATTTCATAGCGCTGTGGTCTGAAAAGATTCTTCATATGATTTCAATTTTCTGAAAATTACTGAGGGTTGATTTGTCACCCAAGATGTGATCTATCCTGGAGAATGTTCCATGCATATTTGAGAAGAAAGTGTAATCTGCTGTTTTGGGATGAAATGTTCTATAAATATCAATTAAGTCTATCTGGTCTACTGTGTCATTTAAAGCTTCTGTTTCCTTATTTATTTTTATTTTGGATGATCTGTCCATTGGTGTAACTGAGGTGTTAAAGTCGCCCACTATTATTGTGTTACTGTTGATTTCCTCTTTTATAGCTGTTAGCAGTTGCCTTATGTATTGATGTGCTCCTATGTTGGGTGCATATATATTTATAATTCTTATATCTTCTTCTTGGATTGATCCCTTGATCATTATGTAGTGTCCTTCCTTGTCTCTTGTAACATTCTTTATTTTAAAGTCTATTTTATCTGATACAAGTATTGCTACTCCAGCTTTCTTTTGATTTCCATCTGCATGGAATATCTTTTTCCATCCCCTCACTTTCAGTCACAGCATATAGATGGGTCTTGTTTTTGTATACATTCAGCAAGCCTGTGTCTTTTGGTTGGAGTATTTAATCCATTCACATTTAAGGTAATTATCGATATGTACGTTCCTTTGACCATTTTCTTAATTGTTTTGGGTTTGTTTCTGTAGGTACTTTTCTTCTCTTGTGTTTCCCACTTAGGGAAGTTCCTTTAGCATTTGCTGTAGGGCTGATTTGGTGGTGCTGAATTCTCTCAGCTTTTGCTTGTTGTAAAGCTTTTGATTTCTCCATCACATCTGAATGACATCGTTGCTGGCTAGAGTAATCTTGATTGTAGGTTCTTCCCTTTCATCAGTTTAAATATATTGTGCCACTCCCTTCTTGCACGAACAGTTTCTGCTGAGAAATCAGCTGTTAACCTTATGGGAGTTCCCTTGTATATTATTTGTTGTTTTTCCCTTGCTGCTTTCAATAATTTTTCTTTGTCTTTAATTTTTGCCAATTTGATTACTGTGTGTCTCGGTGTGTTTCTTCTTGGGTTTATCCTGTATGGGACTCTGCTTCCTGGACTTGGGTGGCTATTTCCTTTTCCATGTTAGGCAAGTTTTCGACTATAATAATCTCTTCAAATATTTTCCCTGGTCTTTTCTCTCTCTCTTCCCCTTCTGGGACCCCTATAATGCGTATGTTGTTGCATTTAATGTTGTCCCAGAGGTCTCTTAGGCTGTCTTCATTTCTTTTCATTCCTTTTTCTTTATTGTGTTCCGCAGCAGTGAATTCCACCATTCTGTCTTCCAGGTCACTTATCCGTTCTTCTGCCTCAGTTATTCTGCTATTGATTACTTCTAGTGTAGTTTTCATTTCAGTTATTGTATTGTTCTTCTCTGTTTGTTTGTTCTTTAATTCTTCTAGGTCTTTGTTAAACATTTCTTGCATCTTCTCGATCTTTGCCTCCATTCTTTTTCTGAGGTCCTTGATCTTCACTATCATTATTCTGAATTCTTTTTCTGGAAGGTTGCCTATCTCCACTTCATTTAGTTGTTTTTCTGGGGTTTTATCTTGTTCCTTCATCTGGTACATAGCCCTCTGCCTTTTCATCTTGTCTATCTTTCTGTGAATGTGGTTTTTGTTCCACAGGCTGCAGGATTGTAGTTCTTCTTGCTTCTGCTGTCTGCCCTCTGGTCAGTTCATTCCTTTATTGATTACTGTAGAAGCTCTTTATATATTATGGACAGTGTTGATGATTACATGCATTCCATTTTTCCTCTCCTTATCAGTCTTCACTTCATCTATGGTATCTTTCAGTGTCTAGACATTTAAAAATTCAATGTAATTAACTTTAACCATCTTTTTTGTTATGACTTGTGATCTGTGTGACTTCTGTAAGAAATCTTTC